TGGACAATGTTAACTGAATGGGACTAATGCTAATCTTATGCACTAATGTTAAGTCTATGGACAATGCTAAGTCTATGGGGGAGCCGAACGATCCTATAAACCACATTATTCCTATCAGAATTGTGGTTAATAATATGTATTGGATATACATTTATTCACCAAATATTTATTTATTTGTAACATAAAAGTTTATTAAAACAACCCCTAATTATGTTGGCCCCAAAAGTCATAAATGTAAATAATTAACCGGTATAACGTAAATATGTATTTGATTAAATGATATGCTATAGATATAAATTTTTCAACATAAAAATCAACAAAAATTATTTACGCAATTTTATATTTTAAAATAAATTTCGTGGAAAACGTAAATTATTTGTGCTTAAAAAGTAATCAAAATAATAATTTATTACTTAAATATATCGAGATAATAGCAATAAAAATGGATATATTTATTCCACGCCCTGTTATTAATGGCCATATAAATGTATTTTAAATATGAAAATGCTAAAAACTTGAGTATTTAAATAGGCAAAAAATCAGTGGTTTAGTGTGACCACCTCCTTATCATTTAAAAGAGAATATTTTGCATGATTTTTATGAAAATAGTAAACAACCAGAATATTGCTAATACATTGAAACATCTATGTTATCAACCAAATGGATTACTGGCATTTGGTTGATAACATAGACAATATTTAGAGATATTTTTACGTAAATTTTTAAATAGGTTTTTAAATATAAAAATAAAAAACATTTAATAATGTTTTGAAACTTCTGCAGAGAATAGTGATTAATAGAATAAAATAGAAAACAGCGTTCGAAATTTAGCATAGGTGGTCACGCTAGTAGTATAATGAGTTAAATTTCATAATCATGATATTTTCACGTGTTTCCCAGTTAATATCGTTCTATATAAATGTTAAGTTAGTAAACTATTATATAACATACTCTAACAAACTGTAATATAAGAAACTTATATTAAATTTTAACAAATTATGTCGTATGTTTTTAAGTCCGGAACCGATGATATAGTGATCACAGGAATGTCGGGTCGATTCCCGATGTCTGATACTATCGATGAATTCGCACGAAATCTATTCGAAAGCCGAGATATGATTACCGATGACCACAACCGGTGGCCGAAAGGTATTATATAGAATGCATTAAAATTATACATAAAATAATGTCTTTTGTTTATTAAATTATTAGATAAATTATGTATTACATAGTAAGCTAAATAAATTAATTAAATAATATTTTATTAAAACAAAATAGTTAAAATAACAATTAAATTAATTAATTATAACAATATTTATAGACTTGTTTAATATTAACCCGCGTATGGGTACGATTGGAAGTTGCGATCGCTTTGACGCCACTTTCTTCGGCCAATTGGGCGCCGATCTGATGGACCCACAGATTCGTATGCTATTGGAAGTGGTCTACGAGGCTATTGTCGACGCAGGTCAGTTTCCTTTCACTTTGATTTGAACAAACTTAATAGTCATCGTAGATTTAACGATTTAGATTTATTGTAATTTGTACTGGAAATATAAGTTCTAGTTGTAAGTTTTAGAAGTGAGAGTAATAATATGTAATATTAGGTAGTATATTTCTTAATTTTAAAAATTTATATTTAAACGTGATGTGGCATAATATTATTGGTAAAAATAATGTCATATTATACGGTATATACTAAGGTTGGTAAATTACAAAGATTTTTTTGACGCCATGTAATTTTTCTACGCCATGTAAATACATTGTAAAATACAAAACTGCACGTAATATACATGTCATTTTACTTAATATGGGGAAAATTAAATAGTTCCAAATAATTGATTGTGGCTATTATTTACTCATTTTAATCAATGATTATTTTTGCAATAATAAACAAATAACAAGTGTGTAAACATTTTATCCAAGTTTTGTAAAAATATTTTAAAAATTTTACTAATAAATTTTTAATAATGTATTTTACAAAATGAAAAATCTGTGCATGTAATATACATGTAAAATACTATGTAAATTACATACGTAAAATACATGGTTTGTCATATTGCCAACCTTAGTATATACATTGTTTGTTAATACCTGTAGAGCGTTTCCAACGCATTGTATTATAGAAATTAAAATGTAAATACTTTGTGTTAACAAGTTAAAATTAAAGCTTCTAATATTTGTTTAGGCCTACATCCACAACAAATACGCGGTACAAATACAGGCGTATACTTGGGCTGTACGGCTCCGGGGGGAGCCGATGGCTTGCCGGAGGATGTGGAACCCGATTTGACCAACTCGGCCAACGTTATAACCCAGGATGCCATGGGTCATATGCGGGGCATATTTCCTAATAGGATTTCATTTGTGTACGACTTGTTGGGGCCGTCTATCCAATGCGACACCGCCTGCTCCAGTAGTTTGTCCAGTTTCGCACTCGCTTTCAACGATATGCTATTGGGTTAGTGAGAGAATGAGTGAGTGAGTGAGTGAGTGAGTGAGTGAGTGAGTGAGTGAGTGAGAGAGAGAGAGAGAGAGAGATTTGTGATAATTAAATTGTGTATTATATTACAGGTAACGTGGACAAGGCTATAGTGTGCGGAACAAATTTTGGTTTGCAGCCAATAATGTACCAGTGCCAACAGGCGTTGGGCGTTTGTTCGCCACGTGGTGTGTCCGCCCCATTTGACGCCGAGGCCGATGGTTACGTGAAAGCGGACGCCGTGTGCGCTGTGCTGTTGCAACGGCGCCCGGAGGCACGCAGAGTGTACGCCACTGTAAACACTGTACGACTGAACGCCGAGGGTACAAAAATGGACGGCATGTATAGGCCCTCCAGCGATGCTCAGGAGTCACTTATGCGGTGCGCGTATACCGACGCCGGCATCGATCCGAGCAGACTGTCGTACGCGGAATTACACTGTGCCGGCACTCAGGTTAGGTTCTTATAATTATTATCTTTAATAATTTTAATATGAATGCATACAAATGATAATAAATTTAGTATAAAATATGTTTCCATAAAATACCCGCATTTAACCGCTCAAACCCTTACTGTGAACTATAATTAGTGTTGCCAGGTCATTTTCACTATTTTTTTTGATAAACTCATTTTTTTGTAAATTACCCGGGAGATTCTTTGAGATTTTCTAAAGAATTCCTTGATTTTTTCTTTGAGATGGCAAAATAGTCCTAAAATGTCATTAACATCTAATAAGTATCAAAAATAATCAATTTAAACTCAATGTAATGTTTAAATCTACATGATTTTTGACATTATTCACTTAAACTTACTATACTCATTGTGATTCTCAACAAATTAAATATTGTGAATTAAGGGAAACATTAATTGTGAATACAATGATTGTAGTATTCATCTTTATAACAAGTTTCTAAGCAAATATGGCAAATTGTATCAATGTATTTATCATCATGCAATTCCGGGAGCTCCCCATATCAAGGTGGGACCCCCGCCATGAGACGGGAGGCAGACCCTGATTCCGGGAGACTCCCGGGCAACCGGGAGCTTTTGGCAACACTAACTATGATATATATTATATAGTATATAAACTGTATTAGTAATATTATTTTTATTAGTATATCTAGCAGTATTATATCGTTATATAAAATTTTTATTGACATTTTGTTGATTAATTTATTTTATTTTTAAAGGCCGGTGATTTTACAGAAGTTAAAGCCATTTATAATGCGTACTGTAAACCGACTGCCCGTACGGTGCCGTTGCCCGTGGGGTCAGTGAAGAGCAATATGGGTCACTCGGAAGGCGCCGCCGGTTTGGTCGGTATTATTAAAGTTCTGATTGCATATGAAAACGAATGCATTCCACCCAATATTAATCTGACTCATTTGAGAGATGACATAGCTCCGTTTTTACCGTCCATTTTACCAGTTGTAAGGCCTTATAATTATAAACCGGGTGAGTAATATACAATACTGAAGTAATTATATAATTAAATTAATTAACTGTAATCATAACATTGTTATCTATGCAAAATAATGTCAATAAATATGTCATAAAATAACATTATATTATGATAATATGCTTTTAAATTTAGAAAATATGTTTTAATTATTAACCACATTTCATATATGATAAATGTGGTATATTGGATTGTTCGGCCACTCCCTTCACCCTCTTCTCTATTGGATTTAACATGGATTATAACTTACTCGTTAGGTTTATGGTTATACTTTAACATTATGCTAATGTTTTACTATGAACAATGTTAATCCTATGGGACTAATGTTAAGTCTATATAGATTTTTAAGTCGTTATCGACTAATGTTTATTTTATAGATAATCGTATAAAACTGATGTATGATAACTCTATGGAAATAGTGTTAAGCCTTTGAACATTGTTAATCATATATGAATAATGCTGTCTATGGCAAGTCTTTTTTACTCATATTAAATATGCAAATAATGATAATCAATTCTTTGAGCAATAGAAGAATTGTGGTTAATGTATATCATAGCTGTGTGTGAATTGTTTTAGAAAAAATACCAATTTGCAAATAATATTTTACTAATATATTTGTTGTTTATAAATAATTAACAATATAATTAAGTTTGATGCTATTCGCTAAATGCAGTTAATATTACATGTTGCAATTTTCATTTACCATAATAGGTTTGGCGTCTGTGGATAGTTTTGGTGTCGGCGGTGCGAACGCACACGTATTGCTCGAACCCAACTATAAGTTGGCCGCAACTGATCGCCGCCAACAAGTGGCCGATATTATGCCCAGAATTGTCAACATTTGCGGCAGAAGTGAAGAGTCTGTCAAATATATAATGGATTACATCGAAAGTAATTCACAAAAAATTACAAATGATTTTTTGGCACTATTGGCACAAACCATGAAATATACGCCTAATGTTAACTCATCGGGAATGCCATACAGGGGTTGGTACGAAGCCAATTGATACTTACGACTAAAATTTTATATATTTTGTAAAATTAGGTTCAATTATAATAACGCCATTATCCGAAGAAATAAATGGAGACATAAAATATGAATTCAATAAACAAATGAGTGCTATGTTTGAGAAAACTCGAAGACCCCTATGGGTAATGTTCCCGGGATTGGGCGGACAGTGGTCGGCAATGGCCAGAGCTTTGATGCCAATCAAGAAATTCGCCGACACAATAGATGAATGTCACGAAACAATTCACAAAGAGTTTGGCATTGATTTGAAACACATATTACTATCGGAGGACAAGACAGCCATCTCTACGATGACCGCCAAATTCGTGGCCACAACTGCTATAGAGATGGCGCTGTTTGCGGTCATCAAAGACTTGGACATCACTCCGGACGGCATAATCGGCCACTCGTTCGGTGAGATAGCGTGCGCTTTTGCCGACGGATGTCTAACAGTACGGGAGGCCATAATCGTGTCGGCCCTCCGGGCTATAAATAGTGTACAAAACGTTAATATACCAAAAGGACTGATGGCAGTGGTCGGCCTATCCAGAGCTCAGGCGATGAAGTATTGTACAACCGGTGTATATATTGCCTGTAATAACGGGAAAGAGAATGTCGTCATTTCTGGTGACTTATTTAAATTATTTATTAAATCAAATGATAACTAAGTTCTTTCCTTATAAAGCCATGCAGATAGAATACTGAAATTTTTAGCATAATCATTTTAAACACATCTTTAGTAAAAATATTTTCACGTTAAAAATGAGATAATTTTTTTAGTCAAATATTTTGTTGTAAATTAATCAAAATTATTCCGACTGACAAACTTTGAAAAAATCCTGTTCATAAACTATTCATCCGATCTTGATGAAAGTTGGATTCTGGTGCTGTGTTATGTCAACTTAAGTTGTGAAACTGAATTCATAATTCTATCTACATGGATTCATAGTGACAGAACTTAAAAGGATACTACCTTAAGGGTCTTATAGGTAATGGTACGAATTGATATGTATGGGTAGAGTGTGGCCACGATCTTCTGCCATAAAATCGTGTCAATAGCCACAAACACTTGCTTTTTTGATCAGATATACAGTGCTTAATGCATAGTAATTTTTGGTGAATGATATGACAAATGTTAATAATCATTTCTCAATGCATAGAGATGTAAGTAATTGACTAGAAATATTGTTATAACGCGGATGTTTGTGGCCATTAAAAATACATCAATTTACATGAATTGTAATTATTACTAAAATAGAAATTAATTTGCAAATTAAAACTCTTTACATTATATTGTTTATAAACGGGCAGTTTATAAATTTACCACATTATTTTTAATTAATTTTAACATTTTATAAATTAAGGTCCGATGAAAGAAATGGTCGAAATTATGTGCAAATTAAAAGATAAGCGCGTATTCGTGCGCCCATTAGATTGCGACGAAATCCCATACCATTCGCCATACATTAGCGAATCGGCGAAAGCGATGAAATTGGCGATCAATAAATACATTACTAACTTTAAGAGTAGGTCTGATAAATGGTTGTCCACATCGGTGTTCAGATCAGAGCCCAAAGACAAACAGTTTGAGTTGTGTTGTCCCGAGTATTTTGAATATAATATGGTGAACGAAGTGCGTTTTTACGACCAGTTGCAAACACTGCCCGCCGACGCCATTGTACTTGAGTTGAGTCCGCATTCGGTGTTCAAACAAATAGTGTCCGAAACGCTGCCAAAGAGTACTTATATATCACTCATAAAAATGAACGCAAACGCGACAAATATGGACACATTTTTGTCCGGATTGGCACAACTGTACGGACTCGGCTTCAATCTGGCCGTCGATAGATTGTACCCACCGGTCGACTGGCCTGTGGCCAGAAATACGCCGTCCATTTCGTCGCTAATCAAATGGGATCACAGCAAGCGATATTATGTGAAAAATTATCATGATCATTATTGCAAAGCTGTCGCCTCAGACACAAAATTTGTTATCCGTCACAAAATGAGCGAGGATCAATTTTACATGGATCACGTTGTACAGGGTAGACCCATAATGCCGGCCACCGGATATTTAATGATGGCGTGGCGTAAAGCGGCGGCCAGTGTTGGCAAAGCGTGGTCAGACTGTCCGGTAGTATTTGAGCAAGTTCATTTAAGGCGGGCAGTATTATTAACAGACAACGCGGACACTACGCTCCGTGTGCGATACAATCCGCTAACAGGTATAATTATAATTAAAAATTTCTCCATAGACGTAATGTTAAATTCAAACTTATTTTAAGAGAAAGGTTAACATTTTTTAAAGTTAATTGTAACCACAATTTAGTGTATAGTTTATAAGATTAGTCGCCCCTGCTCCCTCTGCCTCGCTCTATGGTATTTAATATGATCATGCAGCTTAAATCTATTACTATACTTTAACATGGGCATAATATTAAATGTATAAAATATTAACTAACATTATTGTTATGTCATTTATAAAGTTTATATAACTTTATATAATTTTTAACACTATGGGGAAAATTTCCCTTTGAGCTTCTATGGGATTACAGCTTAAGTCTATAAAATAGGCTTAACATCAACAATGCTATTTATCTAGCAATTACACAAGGTTTACACAACTGTGCTATATGGTAACCACAATTCGGGTATTGCTATAAAAGTAGATTAGTATTATCTATAAATTTGGGTACAATTTTTTGTCATTGACATAATACTAATTTCATAGAGTTAATATTCACTCATAGAGTCCCATATACTCAGCATTATCCATATTATTAACATTAGTCCCATAGAGTTACTATTGTCCATAGACTATCAATTACCTATTTTATACTTATGCCATAGACTCAAGAATTCCATGTAAAAATATTGCCATAGACTTAAGCTGGAACCCCATCTTAAATCCCATAAAGCAGAGGCGGAGGGGGAGGTGGCAGAACAATTCTATAAACCTTATTATTTTGAGACATAGAGTTAATATTCACTCATAGAGTCC